CAGTGTAATGTGGAAACCAAGCCTAGTACAAAATCATGAACCTTTAACTGCAACTCTCAATTTGTTATTAGCCATACGTGATTCCTCAAGCAAGCAAGAGTTTAGGGTTAAAATTCTAAAGAAGCTAGCATGCAGTAACCATTCTGCAGATTTTTTTTTTTTTGATAAGCTGGAAAAAAAAAACATTAACAGCCTGAAGCATGGTCTTTGTCTTCACAGCACTAGAACTTAGAACCATTCTGCAGATGATAGTTTTCCTGAAAATGCTCCTAGCCAGTTTCTTATTTTTCTTCACATATCCAATTGATTTCTATTAAAGTTAAACCATCATGGTAAACAGATATTAAGAAAATTGGAGAGAAAACTCCATCAAATGATATTCCTGTGTCTCTCAGGTCTCAACTTTGTGAATCTAACTCTGCATCAGGAGATTTAGGACCTCTTCTGCAGCACACAAGATGCAGCCACAAAATAAATCTTAATATTTTACACGCATATGCACCCTTTTTATTAGTATTTTCACTAGACAATATGCTTGGACAATTATGGTGCTTGCAACATAAGGAAGTATCATACTCTATCAAGCAAGGACCGAAGCCGACATAGTGACATATACTTACTGAATTTAATGTTTGAGGCACACAAAATATAACTTGTACGGTAGCATGGTTAACTATATACTTGACAGCATCAGGACCTACAGAGAAAAACAATGACGTACTCTTAAATTTAACACAAAAACAAAGCAAATATGAAGCATAACTGTTCCATAGTAAATGAAGAGCAACCAACCAAGCGTGTCATATAATGGTACAGATATGTATGAATATGCAGAGCAAGCATGATCAACAATGAGCCACTCGGGTCTGTTAATAAAATATAGCCCAATGCAGGAACCCTGTATGAGAACACAACGTTAATTACATGAAGTGATGGATCATGAATAATAGAAAACATTAGTCAGTCATAGAACTAGAGCTTAGTAGTCACCTTTGGGATTCCATGGTAAACCAAACCAGAACCTATTGCTGACCTGGCAGTACCTGCTTCTCCATAAGTCATCCATTTGTACCTTAAAAGCACAGGAAAATAAAAATGATGAGAACTTTGTAAAAGCAAGCTCAAATAGAAAATGCAAGGAAGAACTAGAGAGCCTCAAAGGCTAATCAATGAGATGCTCACTCCCCAACAGTTCCATCAACTCGAATCCGAGTTCCCAGATATCTGTAATCTCGGAAAGTTTCAACCGAGCGCCTGTAATGAGAGAGGCAAGAAACATATTTATCAACTTCTATGGTGAGAAAAATGAACTCATATGAGTATTGCCCACTGAAATTACAAGTCAAACTTTAGCAAACTGATGCCAGAATTTTCCAGAGAAAATCAGTAGTGCTCACACAAAGTTATCATGCAGTGAACCAATTTCAGGATGATCAGGAAACCTGCTGACCAGCTTCAATGGTGAACGGGCAGATCTGAAATAATAATTATAAATCACGTCTTAGCAAGGATAGAATGACATATAAAAAATAATATAAAGAAAATAAGAAGAGGCATACCTGTACACATTCCATTTTCCTGTCTGTAGTTTCTCTGGTAGTACAACACTGTATCCTTGCTCTGCTCAGAAGAAAACATCGAACTAGTAACATCAATATCAACAAATCATTACTACTAAAAGGCACATCAACAAATCATGCAGATGAAAGGATCAAATAGCAAATGGATTTAAAATTTACTAGATTCAAGGCAATTTAGAAAATAATCAGTTGTGGATAATATTAACATTGATGTTCACAGAAGCAGGCCAGCCTGCCCCCCATAAACTCACATTTCCTTATATAAACAAAATAAAGGATGTGCTACCAAGCAATGCACAAATGACATTCCATTGTAGAATCTTACGTCCTTTAATTGTCTCACAAAAGAAATGCCCAAGGATCTGAATAAAATATCAAGAAAAATAGAGCCGAAAAAGCATATGCAATGCCTTTTAAAATTCTAGATCCTTCTCTTGGTTTGATGTTTTGATAATACAAGTCCAGATTTATCATATAAAAGAAAAAATAGTGGCATTCATAAATTTCAACAAACTAGATAAATTTATTTCATTCAGCTTCATCTGACTAGAAGACAAGAAGTTCTTTCAATTTGGCTCAAAGAAGTGGATGCTAGGAATATGATGCAAGAATCCTCAAACATAGCCATACAGGTTTGTCCAACTTTGAGTGTCGCTCACCAGTACCTTTCTCCAAACCTTTAAAACATCATAGCACTGCCCTATACCGATAGGTTTTTTAATTGAAAAAGTTTCTTCATTACATTCAATTCCAAGAACGAGGAAAGAAAGCAGCTGACTCCTGTCAGTCACAACAAAAAGCATCCTCCGAGAGTAGATCGCTGGTGTTTGTACCTTTTTTTTTTTCCTAAATAAAAAAGCTTGAACCATCTTTGAAAAGCATATCACAACGTCTACCTCCAGAAATTGGATATACAGAGCTCTGTCATTTCATCACTCCAGAATTCAGATTTTTCTTCCTGCCTATCGCATATACCCAGAATGATGGAGTTCCACATCAAAGGGAAGTTGTAAGAAAAAAATGGAGAGGGAAAGAAAGAAAGTGCCCAACATCTAGGATCAACCAATGAAATACATAAGCGCACTTTGTTAACTTTGACGAGCTGACTCTGCCTTACTTTGGCATAAAGTCAGAAAGCCACCAATGAACTTATAACGGTATCACCACAAACTAAAGCATTAGATGCCGACAAGAGATATTCCTCTATAAAGAAAAGCGTGTCATTGGATATTCCACTAAGATTAAATTAAAAGTGGACCTACTTTTCTACACAGGAACACAATAATCCAGTTTCCGAATAAGCTCCGGCTGTGCAACATCAAGCATGGATAGCAACATAGATTTAAAATAGATGGAAAAAAGTACCGAGGACGAACTCGCCGGCGGTTAGATGTGGTCGAAGCTGGGAAGAAGAGTCAGTGGTGGAGAGAAGGTGGCCTTGAATGGCTCTGAGACGACGTTGAGCGGGAGAGGGATCCATGGGCGACAGAACAACAGCTCAAAGGAGGGAAGTAACGAAAGAAAGCCAATCCAACTCGCGCTCTCTTGATATTGGTGATAGTTTACAGGGATCGATCGAATATCCAAACGGAAAGGAAAATGATTGGGACCGAAATGAGAAAGGACTACGTGGCACACAGAACAAGGCAAGTAGAATGCGCTTTCAGGTTTGGATTGGATTTAGTTTATTTCGTTTTGCATTAAAGTCACAAGACACGAATTTTACTCTTCCAGTTTGATTAAAAAATTTTAATTATTTTATCTCTCACATTTAATACTATTTTATCTAAATTAATACGAATACTATAGTCACATTCATTACGATTAATTAAGTAGAACTTGCATTTAAGCTCGGGACTGCCGTGCGGGCGTGGAGGTGGGGGGAGAAGTGAACACGCAGAAGTCATGAAGCGCGTCGTGGCGTGTATGAATCGTGAAGAAACTGATTCATTTTTGGAATTTTATATGGCTTCATTCATAGTGGTAGGGTCCTTATATAATTTGTGAGTTGTGTACTTTTTACTGTATTTCAATCATTTTTCACTCATCCAAATAAAAAAAAACAAGATCCAAATTTCCTCATTTAGTTTTATAAAACTTATGTGACATTTGCAATTACTAATATGTATTTAATTAAACATAATCAACCATCAACATGCGTAACATTAAAATAATTTGAATTGATACTATACACACACACTCTTTATGATTGTACTATATCTGAATAATATTTAGCTTTTCCAGGTCAAAAAAGAATTACGTGTATTTTATAAGTTTTTGGGTACTACGTGCAACCAAAGGCAAAATCGATGATGTTAATTTAATTGCAAAAATTTAAAAAGAAAATATGATCTTAAAATGAGCAGATCATAATTCAGGAAGAAAGAACTAAAGTGGGCCCATCAACGCTTTCTTTTCTTTTTTTTTGGGATGTGACTGTAAAATGGGATCATCGTGAGAAACAATGTGGGGCACCTTTTTTATTCGTTTTTATATCTTTCTCATCTTAAAGATATTAAGATATTTTTAACATATCCGGCCAAAAATGAGGATATTTTTAAGGATCAAGCTTCGTATACGTATATAAGCAGGGCGGATCATTTCGCGCGAGGTGAACGTAACCTTGAGTTGACCCCGCAGGCAACCATCTGTGGATGAGAACAAACAAAAGCATGACCCAGTAAAACAGAAGCCTAAAGAGGGCCCAAGACAAACCTTCTTTCGCAATTATCCAAACGGAACCAAACAGACCCCAGAAAAAATCCATCAACGTTTTTCTTTCCCCCTTAGTTATGCTTTTGCACAAGAATAGTTTTTCTCCCAGGTCAGTCTTGTGACAAAAACTATTATCATGACATTTCTTCACAACTTAATTTCTCAAATAACCACGTACACATCGACAAAATTTGAAATGAGTTCACAATTTATAGCAATTTCTAGGAATTTTTTGTTATGTGGCGATTGATGATCCTCTGCATTGACTTCACTTATAAATATTTCTCAATACATAGTTCATGATGCAACGATATTAAACTATAAAAAACATATTTTTGACAAAATTGATTCCCATAATTCTAACCTCATTTATTAACGAATACATTTTTCAAGTTTCTATTTCCACATTAATGTGTGGGAACTAAAATTTTTGTGCTAAATTTAAAAAAATCAACTGTTTTAATATCGACTCAACCGATATTCAGTACCTCTTATAATTAGAAATTATCAAAAACATGTTAATTATTAACAGACACTATAAAATCCGTAGTAAAATGAAAAATGCACTATTTGAGAACCTAGGCGGACGGAGTGCAACTGTTGATCTTTCGTGGAGTAAAGAAACAATGTAACAAATCGTTATATAATAAAAAGGTAGATTTTCATAACTTTCTCACCTCAGAAAACAAGAGCCAGCGTGACTCAAGCAGGAAGCCTCACAAAAAGAGAATATAATTTACTGTAATATAAAAAGACAACACTGCCGAACATTCAGTATTTACGTATATTCCTATTAGGCAAAGAATGGTCCACGCCTGGGCCAACATTCATCATCTAATGAAGCAATCACTGGAACTTGCGAGATCTACACAATTCACAGATAAGCTAAACGCACTACCGAGTCGAGACATATTGATCACTCATTATTAAAAACCTCCAAACTTCCCTTGTCACCACTAAAATGACACGCCCCCAATCAATAAGTTCGACTTTTACGCCCCCACTAAGATGTCTTGTATTCTATACACGCTTAGAAGAGCTCCATTAATTGCTGTGTCACATCTGCGCAAAGGAACAATCATTAACTAACCATAATTATTAGAGAGAGAGAGAGAGATTAAATAAAACTTGTCGCATCTGCATCGAAGAAATTCATTTATCCAGTGCTAATGAACAAAGCATTTCAGAACGGAACAAATTCAACAATGTCGCTCGAAAGCAAATAGCAAGTCATGGGACTAGTACCTTGAAGAATGGATGGCGTTGTCTCGAACTCCTGCCATATGTTCCGATAAGCAGAAAGATCCATGTTCAAAAACTTGGCAGCAAGATGTGCTGCTCCAGCAGCAATATGATGCGGTTTAAACTGAAGCCACAGGGAGCTACGAAGCCTGCAAAACAACAATTTTCAGCTTCATAAGACCATAGAAGATAAGCTACTGCCCCGAGCACAGTAGCATTTCTCATCACAAGTGAGCTATATGTCTGTAGTCAAACTAACCATTTGAGGCAACATTAACAGAAGCAGATTCTTGTACAACTTAAGCATATATTCCCACCATGACAGAGATCATGCCAGCGACTAAGATGAACAGTTACATAAACTAAACAATAAAAACAGAATTGAGCATTCATACCAAGTGGTAAACACATTAACGTTTCCTTACCAACTAGAAAGGCAGCAACTCAGGAAGAATAATAATCCAAGAACCTCTGCAGGATTGCTGATAGTACAAAACTATTATGTTACACTCATCTACAGAATTTATCAGACTTCCTGGGCCAACTGTGCTGTGGGGGCTTTTGACCTGGACAGGCTTGCTAACATGCACATTGGAATTCTCATAACAGATGCATCTAATTCCAAAATCACAGAGTGATGATATCCAGATAGTGGATAAATGCTGAAACTTTGAGCATCATTACATGATATCTAGCATTAAAAAATCTTAAGTTTTGAATTATCCTTGCCCAAAATGACAATCAATATACAATAGTAGTTTGTTGATGAGTGCTGGACAGAAACAGTTTGCTTCTAAATAGCCAGCAGCTTCGTTGATAGTTAAGTGGACAATGGAGTCGTCATGCAAACATAAGTTTGCTTGCACAAAACTGGCACAGATCTTAGGTTTCCCCAATCCCCGCCCTCCTTTTGGTGAAGACAAACTCCCCAACAATTCTCCTGTGAGTACTTTTGTAGCTTATAAGAAGCTACTTCTTAGGCTCCCCCCCCCCCCCAAAAAAAAAAAAAAAAAACCAAAAATCCCCCCACCCTTTTATTTTTTCTCTCTTCTTTGAGGGACAAGAGGGCACTCTAAAAGAACAGCAAAAGGCAACTATCTTCCTCTGGAAAGCATAAGATACAGGCTCCGGTACATGTACACATTTGCATGGTTTACTCACAGGAGCCAAAGCTTTCATATATAATTGATCATTTGATCGACCCAGGTTTAAAAATCCCTTTACTCATTGGAGATATTGATAGATCATCAGGATGCTGTTGAAGACGAAAACAATGTCAAAAGAAATGAGAAAACAAATATGAAAAGAAAATTTCAAATAGGTATCACAAATTTACAGCAAATTAACAGGCCCTTTACTGTTGCATGAATGCAACATTGCCATACACCAAGGTTTTCAAAATCTCCTGTTTATGTGTCAAATACACACCGGCCCATGTGCTAGTGATAATCAAACACATAAAAACTTTATTTTGGTTCGAAAAGTACAAAAATATACATGTCCATATATTCATGTATATGTATATATTCCATACCAGTCATGAAAAATTTCTTTGTTCTGCTATTACAATAAGTTCAAATTTGAAAAGCACAAAATACAAATTCAATAACTTGACGCAAAGGACTTGACACCCCAAATGAAAAATGGTGGAATACAAAATGAAGTGGAAAAAATGGTTTTCAGGATGAAAAGTCACCCTAGTATCCTTTCAAAAACTGTCAAGACTTGAGATGATTACAAGGGCATGATAGACATTGCAAATAAACAGAAGAAAGCGAATCCACTTCATACACGTTTGCCAAAGGTGCATTAACAACACATTGAACAATTGAAAAAAAAAAAAAGAAAGGTTAATAATATAACCAACTTGAAGCCCTCAGATGCTAACACCTAGAATAAAAACCCAAGATCCATCTTTAAAAAACAACTATATCACTCACATTGTAAAATATTCCCCAAAAATAAAGATTTAATCTGTAGAACCCTGCCCAGGAACAATTTTCTTTTGAATCAAGTAAATTGGACCCAGTTGAGACACCCCCATTACTAAGATATTGTTTCCGGACTAAAGAGTCAGTTTGTCTTCAAATTTTGTTTGCTTATTAATTCATGAAAACAGAGGACCTGCCAATAGCCTTGTGGCCAGCGAGATGTAACCCATCCATGGTGATGGAAGCTCATGGGTTTAATCCTGCTATTAGCTCAAGCACTTACTTGCCCTATGTAATTCAAGGGGGAAAAAAATAGATGACCCACTACGCTTTCAAAATTCAGAAAATCTTATTCCCTTCTGTTGGTTTTTAATTGTTAGATCACTCTCTCAGCCCATTCGCAGCATGGTTCAGAGTTCATGACCTTCTTTTCACCCACATTAAAAAAAAAAAGAGCAACGATGAGCCATATGGCAAAAGGTCACCAGCATAAAAGCTTGGCCTAGAAAGTAAATCTGGGTTGGGTGTCTTGTGCCAGTCTTGGGCAACCCAAAAAAAATTGGATGGGGCATTTTCAGGGTAAAGCAATCCATTAGACATCAGCAGTACAACTTCAGATGTAAAAACAAAAGATTCCATGAGGAGCATATGAATCCGCCAGCTAAGATTATCAAACAGGCCAGCATGCTAATCTTGCGAAGACCCTGCAATTGTATGCATGCCAAAATAATCAATATCCCATGACAGAATAACTACACAGAGCTTGCGCTCTAAAGAAAAATACTGTGAGAATCAACACTATCTTGAACCAAAAATAGGGTGTGAGACACCAAGGTATCTTCCTCAGCCACTATATCTCCAGACCTCAAGAACATGACTTTGCTTGGATTTAACACCCAATGCCCCATATCCTGTCTCCTAGACTAAGTTTTCCAGTCCAATCACTGTGTTAGGTAATGAAAGCAAGGCAAACCAAAAGGGGGCCTGAACAGTCACAACAGGTCAGAACATATCAAAAGCATGTAAGGGAAAGAGATTGAAGGTAGGTATCAGATCAAATTTGACAGGAGCCAACTAATCTTCAAAATGAACGAACAGAACAAGCGAACATCAGTATTTGAAATACAGGATGCATGGGGTTAATTAACTAAGATATAGAGAATGATAACTCACCCTTCACTGACTAAGTTTAACGCCAGATTCACCAACACAGTGTGTGATAGACCTAACTTGTTAAGAACAGATGTCAGAGGAGCAAATGGATGCTGTACATTGAGCTCAAAGTTAAGAGTGGTCAATATCAACTGCTCAGCCTGAATTACTCGCTCACGATGCTGTTCAAACCAGTCCTGTAGACAACTCAACTCATGTTAATGAATATGAAAAAGACATTTAATATATTTAATATGCATGTTAATAAGCCTCCAATAACCAACTCACTAATAGCACTTGTATTTAACTTGACAGGAAAAAATCAAAATGAAGTTTTCATCAATCACATATCATATTGTCACAAGTCATCAGAACCAAAGCCATTTATAGTAATAATCCAGAACCAAGAGCAACTACAGGATATCAACCAAATATATAGACATATTGATAGATTGTATCTTAAGGCAATAGTTGTCTTCCACATGCAAATATAGTGTAAAAGAAGGGAATAATACTCACAACAGGAAGCCGATAGGACAACAAAGTAAAATCTTGTTTGTGAAGGATTTCACTGGACACCCTCAATACGTTATTCAATGGGCGTGGTGTTTCCTCAGACTTTGCAGCTAGAAAAAGAGACGCAGTAGCAATCAACTGCAGGAGAGGAAAAACAACACTAATAAAAACCCTGTTTGAATATACAGGCAAAACTTGAAATGGCATCTATCCTAACAGTAGCCATAACTGTACCATTTAGAGCAGGTGCATATTATAGTTTCAGTACTAGTACATTTCTAAGATACTTCAAGAAAATACTCAGAGCTAGAGAGAAATTAAAAACTCACAAATCTGTCATGGCAAGCATGTGACCTTCGAACAAAAAATCTGTGGCACAGGACCATAGCTGTTCCTATAGTAGTTTGCGGCCTGGAGAAAAATAAGACGTGGTTTTATTTACAAGTACCAAGATCATGAGCACTATTTTTTCAAGAGCACAAAATATGATCAAAACTTTAAACTAAGGATGGGAAAACATAATGAATAGAGAATTTCAGATCTGGATCTTACAATTCAAGCCGCATTCCAAGATTCTGAAGGAAAGCACAGTAAGAGTAACGCAAGTGTGTCTCATGAAGTACATCAATACCATCTTTTCTAGACGGAGAACATCTATCGATCTCGTCCCTTGACAAAAAGATGGGTGCGTCGTCTTCAAACCTAGAGATATCACGCTTGCAGCAAGCTGATGTAGAGGTATCAGCATTTTGTCTCATAAGAGGAAGAGGAAAATTATATGATGAAGGGACATCATCATGGATCGGGGGTGGAAGACAGTATCTCCAGCTTTCATCCCAAGTAGGAACTGAGTATTTTCTTCTTTTCAAAGATGATGGGACAGCATCATACTTCATATAGTTTGCATGATCCGTGTTGTAAAACTTGGAGTTGCCATTGTGCTCCCCAAATTTTGCCCAGTAGTTCTTGTTATAATTCTTATGAAAATAATTGTGCCTGCTTCTTTTCCTATTAGTGCTGTTATAGTTATTTCCATCAAATGTGGACCAATAACCACCATGAAATGTATGTCCTTCCCCCTGAAAATTTTGCGCAATAGACATTATCCCTGCAGCAGCATAAGTCAACGAAATTAGACGCGAAGTTATAGCTTCTCCATAAATGCCATAAGAATGACAAGCATACCAAAAAATAAAATAAAAACAATATCGACTATCAGATTTGATTATGTTCTCTTGAACTATTTTTGTTCACGATAAGCCACCTGCTAGCGCTATCAGCCAGCAACTCAGAAGAACGTCTGAGTTGGCCAACTTCTAGCTAAAACGAACGCGGTTCCTCATACGCACAATTTGCGATCCTCTCATACAATAAAATATTAATCTGAGGACATATTGCATACAAACGATACAATTCAAGGGAAATAAACATCAGCTCATAAAAGTTCCAGACCTGAGAACCCTGTATCAATCGTCCCCCAGGTAAAAAGCCATTACAACAAAACAATTTCTATATCAACCCTGATATCTAGTGCCACAAGAGACAAATCAATAAAAAGTAAGGACTTTCAAGCTTGGAGTTTCATCATGCAGATCTCGTCCTACGTAAATTTCGCAATTAAACAAGGTCGTAGGAGATGTTAATGGATAACCTGACTAGCAGCGAAGCCGATCTGATGAGGAGATCAAAGTTTAAAGATTGAGTATTAGGATGTAAATTAGGGTTTTGAAGGAAAGATGATGACTCCGAGTCTCGGTCCCTGGGAAGGTCAAAAACAACAAAGGATTTGTCAGGTAAGGGTTGTCTAGAACAGCAAAGCAACGGCCACGTTTAAAGTTCCTTCCCCGTTGCGTTCGGTGAGATTGGTCCCTTGGGGTTGGGGGGTAAGCCTACCCGATCCACGTTCTCAACCGCTTTTTCCACTTTGCCTCTTCCTTTTCTTTTATTTTAACTTCTGAATTTAAAATTGTTTAACGGACCCGGATGTGTCCTCTTCAACGGGCCAGCTAGATCCAGTTTATCACTGGCCAGATAAATTAGCCCATTTGATATTTCAGCTTCTCTCTCTCTCTCTCTCTCTCTCTCTCTATTTTCAACCCGGTAAAAAAATGCATTTTACAGCAGGAGATGATCACAATAATGTATGATTATGTTTCTCTCCAAATACCAGGTGATGAAATGGTTGTTGGCTATTGTGAAACTTGATGAGGCATCAACTTTTTGTGCAGCGAACCACAATTGGTGTTTACGAGATAGTTAATCTATGGGTTGAAAAGTCGAAGCAATTCCTCGTATTCTCATCTCAAGCAAGGGATGGTACGTAACCACGTTGTCCTATTCAGGATCTGAGATCCCACCCACGTACTATGTTGCTTTTGTTTATGCTTGTGAATTTCAAGAAACCGTGTTTATGCATTCCCATTACAACTGTCAATTCTCCAATCCCCCCTCGCTGTGGTCCTCCCTTGTCCCAAATTCTATACATCAAAGTGTGTACGAAGTACAGGGTGCGGTTTATTAAAAAAACAGTTATGTGAACTAGTATTTGACATTAAAACATCAGGGAACAATGGATCAAAATGCTGAGAATCATGCAGCGCTTTTGGGAGAATTGTCGAAAGTTCTCAAATTGCACAGTGTGAGTTATAAACGGATCCCAGAAGAAAAAGAAAGGAAACCTGGGATGCACCGAATACTGACGGAGAACATGAAAAAGGATGAGATTATCGAAGTAGTCCATGGATGATATAGCTTGTAGAAAAAGCATGAAATTAAAGTAGGGACGAGAAATGGGACGCATCCTGCGGTGAAAGCATATGATCCCATCTGGCATCTGGTTTAGATCCATGCCAAACTCAGCACGCAGTACAGAGAGGAGGGAAAAAAAAAAAAAAAGGCAGAGTGAAAACAAGATGAGTCAATGAAAGGGAATCGTTTGTCAGTGATCACGAAAAAAATCTACAAATCTAGTTATTTATAGATTCACTAGACTTTTGCTGAGCGCTTACATAATTGGTGTGTTTCTCAGTGAATGAGTGGTGGCAGTGTCACCACTTATTACCACACTCTCTTTATTACTATGAATCCTGAGCAGCCCCTTTCCTCAATCCCCTCCCTCTTATTCAGTCTTAAAGGGACACCTCATCGCGTAAAGCTAGCCTCCTTTCCCGACCCCTCTCCTCTCCATAATCTCGTTCATCCTCCTCCCTCCACGTTTAAACCACGTGACACATGATCCCTTGAGATCCAGTAAGCTCTCCACCATCATGCATGTGTGCACACACTTCAAAATTCTTACTTATAATAAACTCCCCTGCGTTATTGTGTCTGGTCTTAGAGGTAGATGTTCATTGTGTTTATGATCACTGTCAAAATTTACTCACCTTTACTGTTCATTTCTGTGTTGAGTTGAGTGGCTAATTAATGTGGTGAGGAAGTGGCGGAGCGTGCGGTTGACGCTCCACCGAGGAGAGTTCCTAAGTGATTTTTCTCCATTGGATCCTTGACTATTTGCTTTGAGTTAACCACTATAAATGGCGGCTCGTGTGTTCTAGCACAAAGTTTTGTTCTCAACACACCACGCATCCATTGACACAGACACGCACAGGCGCCCTCTCTCTTTTTCCCTGGAGCATGTAGAGCACCAAAAACGCAGAGATGGGTAGGAGAACAAGGAAAGACTCCAAATCTTACACGCTTCCTTCGTCTCCATCTCATTCCTTCTCGTCATCTTCTTCTTCCGACTTCGAGTTCACCATCTCCATTTCCCCTCGCAAATCCTCCGCAGCCCTCTGTCCCGCCGATGAGCTCTTCTACAAGGGCCAGCTCTTGCCTCTCCACCTCTCCCCCCGCATATCCATGGTCCGTACCCTTCTCCTCTCCTCCTCCAGCACTTCTTCCTCCTCCACCGACACCACCGCTACCAACGGCGGCGCCCGTGACTCCACCGGCAGCTCCGCTGACTCCCAGTCTTCCTTCATCTCCGACCTCGCCATCTTCCCGGACTGCGACTCATCCCGTCCCAGTTCGGTGACAGAGGACGACGAGTTCAAGCGTCTTCATAACCCCTCTTCCTCCGTTAATCAGCAAAGCCATGTCAAGAAGTCCAAGTACTTCTCTTTATCGAGATTCTCCTCTGTCTTCCGCAAAGACTCGGGTAAGAACCGTGACCCGGATTCCGTGTCCGGGTCGTCGGTCAAGCGGATGAGCACGACCGCAAGAGAGGTCATAAGGAAGTACTTGAAGAAGGTGAAGCCGTTGTACGAGAAGCTGTCCCAGAAGCAGCAGCAGCAGCAGCAGCAGAGGACGGTACTGTCGTCAGGGTTGGCGAAAACAGAGAGATCGGCGAAAGAAACGGAGAGGAAAGAAACGGGGGGTGGAGGTCTGCTTGCTCATTCCTTCTCGGGGAATCTGAGGTACCCGCGGAGGAAACGCTGCGCTTCCAGCTGTCCTTCGTCTATGAGATCATCACCCAGCCACTCCGGCGTGCTTTCTCGAAGGGGATGGCCGACCAGTGGAGCAGGCAGGGCGGGCGGGGAAGGAGGAGCAATGTATTGCGGAGACACGGCTTCCATGGAAGAGTTGCAGAACGCAATCCAAGGCGCAATCGCTCATTGCAAGAACTCCTTGAATCAGAACAAGGCAATGGTCAGTAACGAAATCTAATCTAATAAGCCAGCAGAAGGTTTTCGTGATCTCTGTCTCTGTTTTTCGTTTCTACCTTTTCAAGATCTCATTGACATTAACCGTACAGAAAAAAACCAGAAAAAAAAAAGGTCGCCTCTTTTTTCTTTTTATTTTCTTTGCTCTGTTTTCTCAGTGGGAAATTGACGTGAAAGGAGGCTAGCTAAAAGCTGCATGTGACTGTACTATCAATAACTTTTCTGATCTGTAACGATAACTTGGCAGCATCTGAATCAAAGTTTTCAGGGAAATGATTCGTGAGCGTTTAGACGAATACTAGTAGCTAGCATTTAAATGATTCTGGATTCTAGCAGAGTTGGTTGAAATCCAATGGAACGGGATATGTGAAATTGTAAACAGCCAGGATGATGCATGTGCGTGAGATGGAAGGAAAATTCATGGGATGTGTTTGATGATGGGGGATAAGACGGTGTTTTATTTAAATGTGCATTTATTGTGAGGAAGCAGCGGATGGGAAGGTTCATTTGAAATGCAGAAGTGCTAGCTCAGCCTTGAATTTGATTTCTGCCCATATTGTTCTCGTTGGCGTTGAATTCCAATTGAATCCATTATGCTACTTGTAGCCTTTATTGTCACTTCCTCACGTCTCTGTTCCATTCATGTCCACGACGTGGCCAGAAATTTTGTGATGAACTAATGATTAAACAATAGATTACCAGTTTTTTTTCTTTTCTTTTTTTTCCCCTTTTTCTTTCTTGGGCCAAAGATCTGATAGTGCTACATTGACGGGCAAAAAAATTTGCTTTTTAAATAAATAAATAAAACTAAAGAATTCAAAGCGCACTAGGCCAAAGCAAAAAACAGCAGTAGTATTTATTGCATAATCATGTGGATCTGTCCTTGAATGAATTGACTTAGATAACACTATATTTTCCGCCTCGTGTATTATTATTTTCCTCTATGCTATTATTACGTGTACTTTTGAAATCTACGTGCATGCCGTACTTATGCTTGGCTTTTGTTCGATGCTAAAAATTTAAAAATAGAAGCATTTAGTGCAGTCATCCAAGCAATGATCATGACAGAATACTGCAGTGGTGATTTCTAACTTTGATCCACGAAATTAGATATCTGAAAATTGCTGCGAAAGACAGAATTGAAAGAGGCGTAAAGAAACCGAAACCAAAACACAGCAAGCTAGACAAGAATGGGGGAAAAAAAGTGTTTAATATTGAACCTGGGATTTCAGAAGACTGGTTCGAGCCACCGGGCATATTATGGTTTTAGTGCCAAGCAGTTCTGATCAACCAAATCACATAAGCAAATTAACTAAAATATACTCTCCCCATTCTTATTATTACATTTCCTATGAGGTGGTTCCTGTTAATTATGTCTCTCAGTGAGATATTGGTTTGAAGTGAAATTAAATAAGCGAAGAAGAAGTTGCTTTCACTCACTCTCTCATTAATTAACCTGGATGACAAAAACCTCCCCTCCCCCGGAACTGGCATGCCCGTACGGCCCCGCCGCGCTAATATTTGCATTACTTCATGCGCTCGTATCTAATACTCCTCCAGTCTTTAATATAGGACCCAATTGGTGAGTTGGTTTTGATCCTAAATATAAGACCCATTTCTCATATTTATCAATTTTCACTAAATTACCCTTATGGATACTCCTTCAACCATAATCAAATAGAAGAGGAAGATGAGGTATTAAGAAATATGATTGTGGTATTTTAGAAAAAACGTGTCATATTTCTTATAATTAACTAACTTACCTAACTTCTTTAATCTAATCAAATTAATTAAATGGGTCTTATATTAAGGATCGGAGGAGTATTTCCTTTAATTTGTACTATGTTGTTCTAATAAAAAGTTACTCGTATAACAAGGCCATAGAAGAAAGCGCAGGAAGCAGGCGCGAGCTAGTTACTACAAAAATATTAGCTGCTGGCACGAGAGCCCACGAATTGGAGGGGCTTATTTTATCGGGTGGTCCAGTTTTGCATTTTAGTACACCCTTGTCAATCTCGTTTAATCCAGTTGAGACTTCTACAGAGTCAGTTATCCTCACTTTCCAACTGACGCTAACCCCTTTTAATTACGATTCCATACAATTTTGATTTAGCTATATGACTCGTGCATGAGTAGTTTTATATTAATGCTCATCCGATTCTTAATACAAGATATAATTAACTAATTTGAGTAGATTAAAAATATTAGTTAAATTAGTTAATATGATATGTTTTCTTAAAAATATCCTCCTTAATTCTCTTTTTTTCCTCTCTTTGCTTGATTATTGTTGAGAAAATATCGATAGAGTTAATTTTAAAAAAATTAATAAATATATTAAATATATCTTACATATAAAACTAATATTAATTCTCAAATTAGGTCTTACGTTAAGGATCGGAAGAGTACTATCAAATTAACTTTTCAATTAATGGATATACGATCAAAACGCACTACTATATTAAAAGACTAAAAAATTATTAAACTATGGCTTATCAGGAACAATCGATCTTTTTCGTTTTTTTGGAGTCAGTATACTTGAATAAAACATATTTAGCGAGTGTGTGGGTGTGTCTTGATCAAAAAAGATTATGTGGGTGTGTCATAATAACTATATCAATTAAATATGTTTTAAGCATCTCATAAACATTACTTGTCTAGTATTGATGAGTAATGAGCTCGAAGATATTCTTCGATCGCCAAGATATTCTTCAGTAGAGTGAAGACATTTAATCATGATGACATTATACAGCTATAGTAATTTAGTACAAGTCATCATGCACTTGTTTTACTCAACTAACAAATAGAAAAATTTATAGCACGTGGGGTTAGCAAGTTGAAATCGAACGTATTTATATCCTCATATGGCCATAAAAACGGAATTAGGAATTGAGGATGATATTAATTTATATATAGTTCATATATATATATATATAACTAAATTATTAAGCGTTAAAACAATGAGTTGAAAAGTTTAAGAGTCAAATTCGTCGTAAAATAATTGTCGACGTTTAAGAAATATGATTGAGAAAGGAAAGAGGGAAGTGGAGAAATCTGGTATAGTTTGGTTGAAGAAGTGTACAGCTTCATTGACTGGTACGTAGGGAGTGATAACGATATAACACAGCAGAGATTCAAATTAATCAATGTACGTGAATCTGTCAAAGCTGATGAGAGCATTCAATTTTATCACTAACATATTTGCCAAATAAAACACGTAACTAGTAGCCTGCCTTTATCCAAATCCACTCACATGTCTTTCTGTCCTTTATACACACTCGTCTAAACTCTGCCCAAACAAGGATCTCACTGTTTCTCCTCTATTTTCTCCCTATACCCATTTTGATGGATTCATCACTATTCTATTACTCTCCCTTCTCGCTTTTGGTTGCCTCAGAGTATGGCATTCATTCATCTATATACCCAAAATCAAACAAATAAAGTTACCCTTGTCATATAATAATTTTGGACAAGTCAATAATGTTAATTGCAATCGATGGGCGAGGAAAATAAAATCAGTCGTGGAGCTTTTTCCTAGTTTTAGGTTGAGTTTGAAATGAAACAACAGAAACAAGCCACGTGCCATTTGCCACATAGCAGGCTCCCTCCCAATAATTGAAATAACAAGTCCCCATCAATGCAATAAGCCCTTTTCCATCTTTCCTTTTCATACCTGATATCGATCGCCAGATTGCTCCTTCTCATTAATTATCATCATCCTGCTCGTCCTCTTTCATTTGTTTCTTGCCACCTCAAGCATCCCTCACTTTATCCTGCTTTCTCAATATATTTTCAATTAGCTTTGTTGCTTAAATATATACGCTGCCTTAATTAATCTTAATTAGGAGCCGAAAACTGAGTCTTGTCATATCTAGCATCGACCCAAGTGCTCGTAACAATCTGGCACAGTGGAAAACATGTATCATCTTGAAAGAATATATATCAAAATCTTAATTACATCATCATTGAGATAAACCACCTCTGGTCCTAATTATAAAAACTAATTGACTAATTTGAAGATATTAAGGAAGTAAGTTGAGTTAGTTATTTGTCCTAAATATGTGTTGTCTTTCCTAAAATATCCTTACTAATCAAGTATATTAACTAGAACTATAATTATTATAAAGATTATCTAGGAAAAAATTGAGTAAATGTGAGAGACAAAGTGGATTGGGGTCTTATATTTAGGATCAAAATAAAAGTCAAACAGAGTCTTATATTAAGGATCAGAGGTAGTAGTTAAAATTATAGATTATAGATATGTTACTACTAAATAGTAAGTTTCTTTTTCAAGAGCAGGGAAAGGCATTAACCATACAAATGACCGATAAGGTCAGGAGGAAGAACTTTTTGCCCGGGGCATAGTATAAATCTAATGAAAGCAAATTTCTACAAACCTAGGGAGGTGGGTCTTTGATAATCATATATAAAATCAGTCTCCATGCTGGCTAACTATATATGAGCGAATTTCGCCATCCAGTTTGCGTGCTTGCTTATAATTAAGCGAATTCCCAGTCTCTTATTACTTACAGCGTCAAATGCTGAGCGGTTTCTACCATGGACGATGTTTAAAATATCCTGGAAAGCCTCTATGAAGAATCCGAGCATGACTTAATCCTCTAATCTGAAACCCTGAATCTAACAGACCTCCAAACCCTGCGGTTTAGCTTTTCCATGGGATATTGAAGGAATCATGTATGGACATTGGCGGTACATATCAAGTACAGTATTTGATTGAAGGCCGTCGTTGTATTAGAAAATGATATGATGATGTTCAAAGGACAAAGTAGCTAGTTACGTTGGTGTTTGGAACTGTCTCTCCAAATGTCGGATCCATTATTCCCCTCTTCACCTTTATTCGGCATACGGCCTTATCATCTTCATATCACATCAAACATCAATCATTAATCAGCAATATAATATAAAACAAATAAATACTAACATAAGAGTTATTTGACTAATTTGAATAGATTAAAAAATTAATTTAGTTAGTTATTTATAATAAATAAATATTGTCTCTTCTAAAATATCCTTACTAATTAAATGTGTTGATTAAAATTAATATTATTACAAAATTATCTTAAAAGAAAATAGATAATATGATAGATAAATTTAAGACCAAAATAAAAATCAAATAAGTTTTTATATTAAGGAGTAGAGGTAGTATAATTTGCTAAGAGAAAAGAAACCTCATTGAAGGTTATCGGAAATTTATTCAGATTTTTTTTTCTGCCATATAACAGAAAAGAGAGAGGGTCAGAAAATAGAAATTGAACCTCAATGCGGGTCACACAATAATTTGGCGTCATATCCATGCACTGCTAAGTTCCAACACCAAAATATATTTAATAAATATATGAAAATTTTATCCAAAAAGGATACTTTTTCCATTTATAATTCGAAAAAAACCCTACTGTGTATGTGTTGAGTAATTTAAAAAGTAAGAATTATTTGTGCACATTTTGGCTTCATCGTGGCCGCTTTAGAATGGAACAGCGTGAGAATAGAATATTCTTGACTGTCAAGTACCATCGCCAAATATCGCTTCCATAATAAAATGGCCCCACACCAGATTCTCTTTTTTCCCCTAAATGATCCCCAATATAAATACTCATTATTTGATCATCATTTGAAATATTACAAGATAATCTATGAGAACCTATTGTAAAGTCATTAATTACACACACATACACACAAAGCTAACCGAACTCAAATAGCCAATTTTAAAAGAAATAAACCATCCCACGAATTCTTTTATCGAGAGAAATATAATATATATATAGTAGTGCAGTACTGAAAAATAATCTGATCAAAAGACTTCACTAAGCAATCATTTTTATTATCATCATTAATATTCCATGACCCATAAAATTTTGCACAAGGCTGCTCGAGCCATCACCACCGGCAATGATCATCACCACCATATATCACACAAATGAAGGAGCTCAAGCACATACATCTCAAAAAATATACTACCTTCGGTCCTAACTGTAAAACTCTATTTGCATATTACAAACGGAGCATTATAATTAGGACTGGAGGTAGTACTAATCAAGTCACAGATCTCTCCAAGCTTTATCTCAAGTTTAATTTGAGAAACCCCAAAGAGCCAGCAGTATTTGTTTTCTTTATTTCTCCATTTGTTCCTTTCTCTAAGGAATAAATGAGAGTATAATTTGCTCTGGATCATGAATATCAAATGACACCAAACATTTCCTTTGAGAGTTTTTTTAAGCATGGGGGTATGAGAAGAGTAATAACTGCGCGAGTTTGTTATGATTAAAGAATGAGAGCGCAATTTTGTCATTTATTATAAGAAATAATTTGTTTTCATCTGAAGTTCTTTATAAAAACTAGCCTTTATGATTATGCTGAATTCATTTATGGTTCAAACCATGATCTTTCCTCGAAAAGAGATTGAAACACGGGTGTGCGTGGGGTTCTCAAACATTTATTGTCAAAACAGATTCTGAGAACATTGTGTTAAACTCCCTCGCAGTAATAATTTCAGTTTGATGTTAACACTTAACACAGTTGAAAGTTGATTAATTCGTTGATGGCATCTCCATTGGGGTTCTCAAAGATTTACAAACTTGCTTGAGAAATAAACGATCCTCCATCCAGAAAGCATTGCTATATAATAATAATAGCAATACTTTCTTTCCCCAGTGATCAGTGACACACTGATACATAAATATACTTCTATAATTGAGTTTCAGGCTTGCAAAGAATTTGTAAGTTGAAAAGCATTTATTGTTCTTTCGAATTCAGTGCATTAGATTTTTTATATTTGCCACTATTTGTTTTCTTTCAGGATGATATCTCATTGATTCCGGTAAGAGTTAGTATTGCTATAATTCGGTCTCTTTCTATATTTTTTTCCCAAAAGAACAAAAATCAGTTAGGTATTTTCATATTGATCATCCAAGTATCAGGTGAAAAATCATTCAAGTGCTAAATTTGTACTCCGGTCAAGCCCCATTTTATAGTGTTGTTTACACTACTATTGTTTTAGAGAATGAAAAACTACATTCATGTAATTGATGGGACTCCTGGTTATTTCTTTATTCATTCATTTTTACCTACAAACAGTTTGATTCTGCAATGTGAAGATGATTAAACCAGGGTAACGGCTTACATGCTAAAGAAAAACAAAATAATAATTTAAGATTACGCAATGTGAAGACGATTAAACCCAGCTAGTACTATTCCTTGACAACATCAAAACTCAAATTTTTTAAGCACATTAACCTGGTCATGGTCAAAGCATATTGCTGTCTCCTTCTCTTTCATCTCAGAAACAGCTGTGTGCTGCGATTGACATGAATCTTAATAAAATACAAGAGTCTATGGCCCTTCCGCCAAGTAGTACAGTTCAGCCTCCTTGGTGTCTTTCCCTGTTACCAATAGCAGGGTCCTTCCTCTTAAAATGTGCACAGTGCAGGAGTTTAACACCATGCAAATTCCAAAGCCACCAAAGGGAGCCCCAAAAAAAAAATTTGTGGTCCCTCTTTTCCCTTAAAGCAACACATGTGGTTATCACATTTTCCATTAAAACCCAATGAATGAATGAGTGGGAAGGTGCTGTACAGTTTCTGTCACATTACTCTTTTAACCATTGTCTGTAACAGAGTAGGTTGGGCATGGTACAGAAAGTTTTTCAATTATTCAAGGGGCCTACTTGAGTGATTCCATTGGTCAACATGCTTCAGAAAGCCATGATTTTCATACTTGATTGCCACACTGTTCCTTTTCTCCTTGGTGTTTCTGCATATATCAAGAATGAGAGAAAGCCTTAAGGTGTGGTGTGGAAAAGCTCATTTCCTCGAGACCAATTACTTGAGCAACATGTACACTGTCAGAAGAAGAAACCAGTGTGAATCTAAGACTTTGAGTAATTGGAAACGGAGATTGATGGCTTGACGGAGATTTAAGTTGTAACAAATGATTAAGTGCGTGTTTGGAAATAAGTTTGCCAAAGCCATTATGTTTCAGCTTTGACCAACAAATTTCCAAACATGTACTAAATCTCATATCGAATGCCATAGGATGATCTCTAGAATATTTAAAGCAATGATTCTCTCATCGAGATAATTAGTTTTTGAGAGAGAGTCTCCTGTTCTATCAATAGATAAAAGTAAGAATAAGTAGTTATAGGATCCTTTTTTACATTGATCCCTATAAATGTTTATTTTGATCATGGGAGGAAGAGGTGCATGGCTAAGCTACTTTTCCTAAGGATGAAATGTGAACTATTCGCGACCTTTCTCCTTACAACCTAACCTATACTTTTCAACAAAATAGTACTTGGAGGGACAGTGGTGCATTTATAGTTAGGTGGTCAAAAAGTTTTACTCTCCTCCATTCTTGTTCTTGACAAGCAGCACATTATAAATGGCCGGAGGATCAATCTTGATAAAACCGTGAACATCATTAGATTTCATAGATTTTGACAAAAGGCTTTACCTTTTGTAGAGACCTGCATGGTTAGGCCTGTAAACTAATCACCCATCACATGTTTAGACTTTTGTTTTTTTTGTTTTTTTTTCAGGCTACTGGCTTTCAACATTATTGTCCACTTCAATTATAATCCAGGGGAGGACCACAGCATGCCCGAGGATAATGCACTAATAATTAAATAAAAGCAAACGATGCCTAGTGTAATAATTGAAAGATTTACCCCAATGTTCGTTAGCTGTCAGGAATTAATTAGAGCTGCCCAAATCTTAATATAAAAGGCTTTCGAGTGCTTGGCATGATAACAACAACCAGTTTGCTCTTTCCTCTGGACAATAAATCCATCTGCACATCGAAATAACACAACGCCACACCAGCTATAATCAACTCATTTCAAGGGCAAATTGGTCATTTCATGATGATCTAGTAAATCCTTTACCTAGTTGTCAGATGCCAAGAAACTACTCTCATGTGGCCACATGCTTGGGACACACTCCCATGTTGTAATCCCTGTATGCAGGCGGAGTCAAATTAACAATACCATCTTTCTTGACTAAGCAGTTTAATATATATCTTGTTAAGTGATCTAAAGCCCTTGTGTCTTTTCTGTATGCACTCTTCTGTAAATTAAGAGATACAATATAAAAGCCGCTGAGCTATTTGATTGAACAATGTCCATATGCATTCGCTTGATCTGCAATTGTTTGTCACGGATATCAGCAAATGAAGACAAGTGAAACAATCTTCTTTAAGAACCTTAGATACCACTACACAGAAAGCTGAAACTATTTTCCTCCTTTCCCTCCTTTTGATGGCAAATGGAAAGAGAAATGAAAATTTTTTTGGGGGGGGGGGGGGGGGGATGCAGAAGCACAACATGGGGTTTAGTTCAGAATTGCATGCAAAGACTGGCCAAGGAAAAAGCTTTTGTCTTTTACTTCCCAAGGCGTCCATGTGCTGTCCCTATATTCTAAAAAGAACCGTGGATCACTTGTTTCGGGTTTGCCAGACCATTAGAATTTTATAATCTCACCGTCCTAACAGTTATTAAAGGAGAGATTAAAATTAAACATAACATTGAAGCACCCCCTTCTCTGCTTTATAAATCTACCAATGTCATGTATGAGTCTAAACACTCCTAAGCTACCTCCTGGTCTGAGTCTAGAACCTCAATTTCATCTCTTTCTACCTCAACACCCAAAAGAAATGGTCTCTCCTGAACCTGTTCACGAAACCCCCAAATCCATTGATGCTCCTTCCAGTCCACGAATCTCTTTCTCAGCAGAGTTCCTAGATGAAAGGGACTTCATATCCATTAGTCCAGACTCCGAGGAGGAGAAAGATCAAGAAAAGCAACGTGAAAAAGCAAGGAATGCGGAATTTGAGTTTCTCTCCAGTAATATGAGTAACAATACCATGACAACTGCTGATAAGCTTTTCTTTGAAGGAAAGCTCCTTCCTTTTTGGCAGATGCAGCATTTAGAGAAACTGAGCAAGATCAGTCTGAAAGCCAGGGACGGAGAAGAAGAGGAAGAGCAAGGAGAAGAAAACAAGGAGGAAAGTAGAGTGAACTGGTTTGTTGATGATGACCCATCTCCGAGGCCACCAAAGTGCACAGTTTTGTGGAAAGAGTTGTTGAGGTTGAAGAAGCAACGTGCTTCTTCTTTATCACCCTCTTCTTCTTCCTCGTCTTCATCTTCTTCTTCCAGCTCTTTTGCTGATATAGCTGCCAAAGAAGAAGCAAAAGGAGCACAAGGAATGGAGAGAAGCATGTGAAGAGGCTAAAGAAAGGGTTAGAGAGGACAAGATCAGCTACTATAGAATTAGACCTATGATTAACGTGCCGATTTGCACTCAGGTCAAAAGCAGTGCCTTGCCGCCTCTGTTTCCACCTAAGAAGGGGAGATTGAGAGGTGTGAAAGAAGATTAGAAACATGGTGGAACTCAGGTTTAGTTTGATCTTCAGAGTTTCTCAAATAAGTTTAGTTCGCTTATTCCTTTTATTTATTCCTACAAATTATGCTTTCATGATAGGTTAGCGTTTATTGATGAGGATCTGTGAGATTACAGTGTAAATTCTGACTTCTATAATCTTTGGCTCAGGCCCTAGAGAAGAAAAAATATTATTGAATTGCGCATTCCCTTTGTATCAATAGAGGCACTTTTTGGTTGTCCGGATGTTATGTCAAAAGCAATGCTACAAGCAGATCTGAGAGTCCCACATGGGAATCTATCAACTAGAGATCTGATCAGTGGACATGATATTAATGAGCATTTAAGCTTTGCGAAAGGGAAAGCGATGAATGTATACCACCTAAATTAAGAATTAGAGAACTAGGATTAAGAGAGAGCCGATTCTTTATCGTTTAATCGTTTAACTTGCCGTCATGAGCGATGACGGTGACGTTAACAAAATACAACAAAAACTTCTTGCTTGTTCGCCTGAGACTTTCACTACTCACTTGAACGTCGAAAAAAGAGAGAACTCAGAAAACTATAGAATTATAACGGATTATCAGGGGGAGAAAGGATTTGTATACAAATGAACACTAGAATCAAAATTTTCTCGTAAAAAGGTTGCTCAGGGTGCTGAAGGTGACGAGAATCTATTTCCAGAAGTCTATTTCCAGAAGTCCTGTTGACAAAAACAGAACACTTAAAGCAAAGCAACTAATTATATATATATATATATATATATATATTCAGCTGTATGAAGAACGGAAAATCCTTACTCACCGGAGGTCGAGTCCAGGTTTTCCCATGAGGTTTCTTGGAACTTGACCAGTCAAATTGTTGTTTTGTAAAAACCTGCAATAGAATCCAGTCAGATGATTCAATGAAGCTGGAAATTGATGCGTGCGACAATAAATTCAAGCAACGGTTAGGCTTAAAGAATTTCAACCAAAAAAAAAAAAAGGCTAAGCTTAGGGAAAAAAGATCCCATTGCTTCTATTTAGTCTCTAATTCTACAACCAATTGTAATTGTAATAGTCCAAGAACTCCTGCATCATAATTGATCGAGATTTAATCTTATTAGAATTAGTATATTTCAAGTCCAGGAATTCGAATTCTTTTTATTATGCTTTTTTGGATGAGAAAATCAAATTAAGGTGTTCCGCAAATTATGTGTCTTTGATTGCTCTGAACATATATTGTATATATTTTAATTTAATTCCCATGATTTCAAAGAGAAATTTATTAAGAAAAGGTCCATAGTTTACTAACTCAAGGATTGCAGTTTACTTCTAGAGTGACAAAGGGAAAAATATTATTTTTCTTATCTCAGAGTGATAGAGGGAGTAAGTAACACATTCCATATAAAACGGAATGCATGGAAGTGACAACTGCACCATCAAGTTTATTCTCTCTCCAATGCACCAATAAACCACAAGCATTCTCCATAACATTCGATATCTGAGGTAAGGGTTTGACTTTGATTCGCTATGCTGGCTAAACATTGTCAAAGCCCAGAAATAGGTCATAATTATAGAAGGACAATACCTATGTATCAGGTTTCCAAGTTTTTATTTTTCTAGACAAATGCACTAATTACAACTAATAGCATACCTTTGAAGTATTTTTAATTTCCAAAATGCCGGCAATTTTCTGTCATCTCGCATCAAATTTCAGGGTTGTGAAAACAAACGTAAATTGCATCTGTATTTGCCAGCAAATGTGAATTTGAAAAAGAAGGAACAAGATAGTTATGAAACCCAACCAAGCTCCCGGTGTTTCTAACATTATCAGGTTCATCAAGAATAATTAAGCTTCCATGGTTCATCTTCGTAAGGATGAGAAAACAAGGAAAGAAACTTGATGAATCTCATTCAGTGTGAAAATACCTCTCTCGGCTAATATCTACTAGTCATTCAAGGTCCTACATCCTATGGTCCCTGCTACATTCTGTTGCAATCTTGCAGTTCTTGCCTTCATACTCTCAACGGGAAAGATCAAATTTAACACATTGAAAAGAAAAGGCAACTAGCTTGCATTCTTCAAAAGATCTCAATAAATTAGAACTTACACTTCATGCAAGCTGCTGATGTTCCCTAGGGACAAGGGAATCTCTCCACTGAATTGATTGTCTTCCAAGTGCCTTAAAATAATATACAGCATGAGTAAATACGAAAATCAAAGCACTAACTTAACAAATGCAGTAAGGCTCTTTCATATAACATAATCGCACAAACAATTGTGGAAACTGATTACAAGTTGAGAAATAAATCGTCTTACCTGATTTTCTTAAGAGGAAAAGATAAAAGGATAAACAACTTACAATGTTTCTAAGAACTTCAGCGAACTCAGATCAGGAATATGTCCTGACAATTTGTTATTCCCAAGCCAGCTGCAGGGCAACAATTTGACAATCAGCATAAAGTAAGAGCTAATTTTCATGAGCTCATAGACTTAACCTACAGACCTACATGTTAGTCAAGGCGGTCATATTGACAATGTTAGGCGACAAAGATCCTGAAAGACCCAAACCTGTCAAATTTCTAAAAATAACAGGGCATCATTAGTAATGTATTCATGTAAACAGAACAACAGTAACAAGAAAGGATAAAATGTTATAGGCATATAACTACTGCAAGTAGAGACAGAACTTACAAAGTCACTACACGAATCCGATGGCCTTCAGAGCAAGTGATGCCAGTCCATGAGTACTGGTGAGGCATACAAGGATCACCAATCCAATCAAGTGGAGGGTTCTGGAAACTACCTTTCAGCTGGTTCAAAGCAATAACTGCCAAGAGAAAGTTTAACTTTCCAAAGTCATAGGTGATTAAAATTAACACACAAGTATACTGTTATAATGTAACATGTTAAAAAGTTGAGATGTAAACTAGGTTATAACCAGTCAGCCGCATCTTACAAGTGGCTAATTTGAAATTTGCAACATTGACTTGATTTCTTTACGTATAAATAGTTAAGTGGCATTGTTGGCTGGCACTGGAGAAACGCTTCTCATTCATGTGCTCAACTCTAATAAAGTCTGGTTTACCAGAAATATGGTGCAGTGGCTCTAAAATATTTTAAAACTAGCTTTGATTTAGGAAAAGCATCAGAATATGTACCATCTCGTGTCAAAGTTCTTCCGCCTAATGGCACCACATCAAAAATTTCACCACCATTGATCATAGGACCCAAGGAAGAACTAGCAGTAGGGGTCACTGTTATTGTCGTAGGACCAAAAAGAGGCCACTGTCTGGCAAAGACAACAACACCATCTGAGGTCACATTCAAATCATGGTAATAAATTATCCCATTTACACTTATGCTAAAAATCCTTGAACCCGCAAATGATGATCCCTTGTTATTTGCGAAGTAAAGAGCAATGTAGAATTTTGAATTCTGAAGTGATTTTGGAGGCCATTTCAACTCCAAGGATTCCAACTGATCAGATCCCAACTGAGTCTCAAACATTCTCGAAGGTGGAAGATTCCAAAAACCAGAAACAGAAATGTTGCTGCTGCCAACTTGAGCGAAATTACTCTCCCCAAAAGGCTCCCAAAATCGGTCAAATTTATCATCAGGGTATCTGTTGAAGCCACAAACTGCACATTAGAAGGGGAAAAGTGGAAAGCACTTTGGAGAAAGATAAGTTTGAAACTCATGTCACACACCAATTATAGCTGCTGATAACTTGATCATAAAATTATGATCTCTGAGCTGTAAACTTACTCAAGAGTTTCTTTCAGTACCTTGTAATCTATTGCCCTTTCACTTGCTCTGAGTAAAGTTTCTATCAAAGATGATTGTAGTTTTCAACCAAACTATTAAAAGGGGAGAAAATCCTTGACAGAGACCACTTAATTTTCAGAACATTGTGGCATTGCATGATTGCAAAGAAACTTTTTGCACCTAGTAGGTTAAAGCGAACACGAGGTAGGATAACCGCTTGAAATCTAGTAAACTCCACAGCCACGTAGAGGGGGCAAAAAAAAAAAAAAAATCAAACAAGCACAATTTGGTAAGGGCAATTAAGCTTCACCACTAATTGCATTGTAAAGAGCGCAAGAATGCATCTCGTACTGACCGAATGGTAGGTCCAGAGTAGCCAAAACTGTGCCTTGCAACCAAATTGAGCCCAAAGTTGTTAAAATCGGTGGCATTGTAAAGTGAATCACTCAAAATCACAAGCTCTAAAGCCGATATAAAGGGGTCGGAATCCGTGTGAGTATTTGACCCGATGCATACAATCATAGTTTTACCCTGAGCTGAGAAAACCCCTTCGTAGAAGGTGAAATTCCCATTTGCATAGTCCTTCGTGGTGTTAACCACGCTCCATAAAGTCCCATCCACGATCTGATCAAACACCGGTGGGGAAGGATGCTTCGGGCCGTTTACCCCTCCATAGAAATACGTCGTCCGCACCATGTATCGTTTTCCGGGAAACACGAGAAAATTGTAGCAATGTTTCTTGACTCGAAGAGGGAAGGATCGAACGGAGGACAAAATGGGATCCCGAAGAGAGGTGGTCACGTTCTTGGGCGTTCCGGTTGATATAAACTCCCCGTCCGGCAGCCATAAAAAACCGCCGATGTTGGACGGCGATGTCGCACCACAATCAATCACGAGACCTACGAATCACATAAATTTTTCAGCAGGGTATCATACAAAACCGGATACGAATAAAAAGAAGCATTCTTGTGATCACAGTATCACACCTTCAAGGAGTGTCCGTGAGGAAGCGAGGCTGACAAAGAAGGGCAGAACGAGAAGAAGGAAGAGAAAACGCATGATGAAATGGTTTAGGTTGAGCATGAAACTGAGTGAAACCGAGTAGGTAGTAAATAAGTATTGGATTTTGTTATAGAACACAGATATGTTCCGATGGGTTCCTGGTGGGGCGAGTCGAGACAATGGAGTTAGAGGAAGGAGCGAAGAAAAGAAGAGACTTTGACTAGGTGACGCGGGAAAAAACTTGGAAACGGCCGACCTTTAGGCCAATCAGACTCTCAGAGATGGCAAACGACTTTTGTCAGGGTGCAAAAGCTAGTTAGTGCATTTGACATTTGTAGGGGGGGGGGGTCACATATCAACTTGGGCTGACTTTTATTATTTTAGGCTTTTATAACTGTTTATTTAAGACTTGGCAGTTGGGGCGGGTAGCAAGAGGCCACCATCCGCGAGTGAGTGATGATCATGAAGATGATGACTAAGGATGACGAACTATTTTTAAGTCAACAAAAATTACATCATATTTAAATTAAATTAAATTCCTGTTGGATCATGTATAAAAGAAATGGATAGTTATTACTATCATTTAAGTAATAAGCATGAGTCGTCACCCTCTGGTTCAATTAATGGGAATTATTAGTAAACAACAATGATCACTTTTTCTTTAAATTGATTCGAGTTTGAAAGTTCTGAGCATTTCATTTTTCTCACAAAACAACGTGACATTTTTATAAATCTTGAAGATTTTGGAAATTATTAGAATTAGATTAACTATATTTTCTCAATATTTCTCCTCATATTAGACAACATACTCTCTGTTCCCTAAGATTGCGCTCTCGCCTGTTCCTCTCTGAAGGCCAAAAGCAAATAATCCAGATCCGATCCTGTAGTATTCCACAAGCCACGTGGCATAAAAGGTTGGGGTTTCTGAAGAATGAAGAGCCATCTGAAACACTGATTTCAGTGATTTGGAAGGTCCTATTTTCACATACATAACAATAGACGCAGCATTTCAGCTCCCGTAGAGTTGCGTATGTTGGCTAATCACAGAAGCATTTTTAATTTCCAATTCCATTATTTAAAGGCTTTGGGTGGTTCACCAAGAGGCATCTTCAACAACTTCAATAGACGTGGAAGGAAAAAGAAACCAAACAAACGACTCTGCGACGTGATTGAATCGAGGCCAAGTTTGGGTGGCCGCTGCTTCCCCCCTCTGTGAGTCTCGGGTTTCGCTTGTATCAGTGTTTTTGTCTGTCAGTTTGATCACTGTGCAAACAAATATGAGAACTTGTTGGTTAATGACAAAGAGCACGTGTGATAGGAAACATGAGACCATGCCAAGAAATCGCTTTTTTCCTGGGTGCGTGTGTCTATACATGAATGCTTCTTCAGGATGCATCCAAGCAAGAGAGCACAATGAGCATGAGAATGTCAGCATTGATTTGTGGGGTTGATTGCAGAAATGAAGGCATTCATCGAGTTGCCTCTTCTCTCTTAATTGCTAGTGATCTGATGTGGCTTTTCTCCTCTTTTTTTAATCTGGTTTAGCTGGCCTTTTTTTTTTGGGGGGGGTCAAATCTAGAGTATTTGCCGTTGATAACAATATTTTCTCGCATTGTAGCCTTCTTTCTTAGAGGAACTGCTTAAAAAACTCAATTAAGCACCAAATGTGTTTACAGTCATGTTGGCTGGGCTTTGGATTTTTCTCCTAATGTTTTGCTTTTTATTCAAGAGAGCTGTTTGGGAAGGAAAAACAAAAAAGCAAGAGAGAGTCGTGGACCCAATATTTAAAAGCACTGTCAAGCACCTTTTTTTTTTTTTTGAACAAAAACAAAATGACATTCATCGTAAATAAAATTATTATAAATTATAATTTCTTAACATGTGACAAAATTAAAATCAAGAGATTCTTTTAACTCGCGAGTGCTGTAGTCTGGGACTCTTGAACCAAAAAAAAAAGTAAAAGGGTGTTCAGGTGCAATTTTTCAAGCCTATAGTGTGATTATTCTGCTAACCCCATGCTACTCCTATCCACGAGTAAACCTTTGGTCTTTCTGATATTTTAAGCTAGTGGCAGTGGATAATACGCCTTCGAACAACGGTAACATGATGTATCATTGAAATTTTAAATTAACAGCTTAAGCACTCGAAACTTTTAAATAGTCTTATATTTAAACCCTCCAAACTTAAGATTAAGTTGCTTATATTTATTATGTCAAGTTTTTTAATCACACACAGGCATATGTCTTTTTTTGTTTCATTCTGAACTATGCTTAAATATTACTCCTCCGGTCCTAATTATAAGACCCAATTGACTTATTTGAGGAGATTAAGAAAGTAAGTTAAGTTGGTTATTTATAATAAATAAGTGTTGTTATTCCTAAAATATCCTTGCTCATTAAGTATATTGGCTAAAACTATCATTATTAGAAGGATTATCTTGGAAAAAAATGCATAAATATAAGAGAGAAAATGGATTGGGTCTTATAATTAGGACCAAATAAAAAGTCAAATTGGGTCTTATAATAAGGACCGGAGGAGTATTTTTTTTGACCAGATATGCTTAAATATTATTAAATATTAATATTTCAAAATATATTATGTAAATGTATAATTATGTGTTATTGTAGACTTTTACATAATGGATGCCCAATATATTTTTTTTGGATTTCTCCCTCCGGTATCCCACATCCAAAGAATGCAGACTAATCTGGAGTCACCCCAGGCAAGGACTTCCCAGGAATGGATGCCCAATATTAAATTCAACGCCGAGAGTTAGAAAACAGTGATCCATTAAATTCAATCAGCATATACGAAGGACACCCCTGATCGGCTGAAGAATTAAACCTCTTGACAAAATTTATAGAGAGAAGAACTTGCTTGACAGTTAAAGGATAACAATCCATCCTTGCAAGCAATCTTAGTAATTACCACCTTCGGTCTTCGTGATAAAAGCTAATTAACTAATTTGAGGAAATTAGAAAAATAAATTAGTTATTTGTAATAAATAGATGTTGTCTTTCCTAAAATATCCTTATTTATCAAGTGTATTAACTATAACTATTATTATTAGTTTGACTAAATTGGAAAAAATACATAAATATAAGAGATGATTGAGGTCTTATATTTAGGACTAAAATAAAAGTCAAACGAGATATTATATTAAGTACCGAAGGTAATACTATAATATTTTAATATAAGATAAAGTTTGACATTTAATTTGATTTTAAATACAAGAATCAAATCAACTTTATTTCTCATACTTATTTATTTTTCTAAGGTAGATTTTGTAATAGTTATATATGTTAAATGTTTCATTAAATAGTAATTTTAAAAAATAACACTTATTTATTACTCCCTCTGGTCCTAAATATAATTATATTATAAAATGAGTATTATATTTAGTAGAGCCGGGAAAACGGGCCGAGCCCGTCGGGCCAAGCCCGTTTAAGTCGAGGGCCGGGCTTGTATTTTGAAGTATTGAAAGGGAAGTCGGGCTTAAAAGGGCCAGCCCTGTATGGCCGAAAAATAAACGGGCTGGCCTTGTAGGGCCGCGGGCCGGCCCGTTTAGGCCCGCCAATTTTTTTTTAATTTTTTAATTTTTTTCTTAACTTAAAAAAGAAACCCTAACATTTTAGACATAGCATAATCTTAATTTTACTTATTCCAACCGTTCACATAGATAGCATTCACAAAAAAAAAAAAGAATCATTATAGTTGTGGGAAAAATAACCAAAAAAACGTGAAAATTGCAAAATTTAAAACTAACATATTCACAAAAATATATTGTTATTTATAAGTTGTCAAAACTTGTTAAAATACTGTATGTGTAATTTTTATGGTCTTTATTTGTTATTCTCCCATATTTTTTATACTTGAAATATAATTGATCAAAAAATCTTTTGAACTAAAATAAAGATCTACATCATTTTATAGTTAGAAACAAATTTAGAACTAAAGATGATGGACTCTTTTCTTTTTTTATCGGTATGACAAATGATTATTCTTTATGTATACTATGTTTGTTAGTTAAACTTTTTTGTTAATTATTGATAATTAAACCAGATCATCTACATTGTAATTATCTACTGAACTTAGTGCTTATTTAATTGTTTACGTCTGTCTTCTATTTAGTTTGTTTATTCAATAGACTCTATTACACTGTGATATATGTTTAGACATGATGATGTTTATATTTGTGAGTTAATTTTATTTATATTTATATCTTTTATTAGTAATTTTATTGTTTTATTTTTATTATTTTGATAAAATATGCAAAAAAATTTAAAAATTTCATTTTAGTTAAAAGGGTTAAAAGCCCGCGGGCCGGCCTGAGCCCGTTATCTCGCGGGCCGGACTTGAAAAAATGAGTGATTTTTGGAACTCGGGCTTAAATGGGCCGGCCTGTTTTCCCAGTACTAATATTTAGGATTAAAAAAAATACAAATAACTAATTTGGTTAATTTTTTTTAATTTATTTAAATTAGCCGGTTCTCATATTAAACAGCTGAGCTGGCATTTTTTGCCCCAAATTCTCATAGAGCTGGGCGCCACAATTACCCAAGGTGCTGTCATGTACAGGCTTACGATTTTTCCCGCGGTCCCGGATTATGAGCCCACGAACCAGCACGCGCATGTTAGCAAGGTCCTGGAATTCCGGAAATACCCCTCTGATCTGCCATCTATTCAAATCCCAAATGGAATTTGGGATCAGCCTTTGTCTCTCTCTGAATCCGTTTCCAGGACGCACTGTCTCTGCGAGAGACCGCTCTCTTTTCCATGGAGCTTCATAAGCGCCAAGATCAGAGCCTCCCTGAGAGGAAAGGCCAGAAGCGGAAGCTGGAGGAAGATTTCGAAGACGAGCAAGAGATCTCGGCGCCTCCTACCGGCGACGCCCGAGACGCCCTTCTCGCTGAGGTTACAGCGCAGGTTGAAATACTCGACTTCAATTTTTCATGGCGTGAAGCCGATCGAGCCGCGGCTAAGCGTGCCACTCACGTTCTTGCCGAACTTGCTAAGAATGGTGAGTAAGTTGGCCTCGGAGCTTGCTCTCCGATCTCATCTCGCCCCGCCTCGCCTCGCATTTCATGTTTTTATTAAAGTTTCATTAATTACGATGCTTTTCGTTTTTTCTGTATCTTTTGCATGCGTGTTTGCTTCTCTAACGGTTTGAGACTGGTGTT